AGACATGTTCATTTATTCAACAAGCATATAAACCTATAAACCTGCCGGAGCCCTGGTGGTATAGTGGTTAAGCGTTCAGCTGCTAACTGAAAAGTCAGTGGTTCAAATCCACCAGCTGCTCCACAGGAGAAAGATGTGGTAGTCTGCTTTCGTAAAGATTTACAGCCACGGAAACCCTATGGAGCCTTGTCCTGTAAGGTCGCTATGAGTCGCAACTGACTCGACGGCAATGGGATGAACCTGCATGGATTCCCTGGGTGGTCCAAAAGTGAATGCGCTTGGCTGCTAACCGAAAGATTGGAGATTCGAGTCCACCCAGAGGCACCTCAGAAGAAAGGCCTGGTGATCTACTTCTGAAAAATCAGCTGTTGAAAACCCTATGGAGCACAGTTCTACTCTGACAAACATGGGGTCACCATGAATTGGAGTCGACTAGATGACAACTGGAAATGAGCCCAGTGAACATTTCAACCCAGCATTCAGCCCCACACAACTGCACACATACACAGTCACAAGTGTGTGTTGCACACACCAGGGATCCATCCCTCTATCTGTGGTCAAGACAACTGTCCTCATCAGTTGGCTGGGGGATGTGGCAAGGGGTCACCTGCCACCTCCTTCTGGGGAACAGAGCCACCCCTCCCCGGGCCCTCCTAACTTTGTTTTGGACTTCAATCCAGAGTCCCCAGCACAGAGTGGGCAGGGCCCTGAAACATTGTCCAATCAAAGCCCCATTCTCCAAATTGGGGGTCCAAGGCTGAAATAGATTCTGTGGGCCCAAGGCAGGGTGGGGCTGACCTGTTTGTGGGATAAACGTCCTGTGTAATTATTAATTTCAGTGGCCCAGGCACTAGTCACTCATTTACTGATGAGGCCAAAGTCTGTGGCCAAAAGAGCTGAGGCTGCCTTGGGCTTTTCTCAGAAATCCCCTCTTCCCTGCAGCTCCCTTCCCCATGTGGTCCAGCCCCAGGCCCTGCATGCTGACCTCAAGGACCAGGTGGAGAGCGAGGTATGGGCAGCATGCTACCAAATGATCCCTGGCTCTGGCTTCCAGGTTCTAGGGCTGAAGCTCTGTGATCTGGCTTCAGACTCCAGGTCCTGGGCAACGTGTTCTGGGCCCAGACATGGATCTCTAAGTTCTGGGATCCACGCGCTTGTTCTGGCCTCCAGCTGGGAGCTCTGAGCTCTTTGCACTCAAAGTGCTTAGGCCAAACCTCTGGTTCTGGGATCCAGGATCTGAGTTCTAGTCTTCCGGCTCCAGTTTCAGGCTTCAAACATTAAGCTTGGGGTTTTGTATCTGGGCTCTAGGTTCTGGGTTTGGTTTCCGGTCTGCAGGTTCTAGACTCCAGGCTCCAATTCCAGACTCCAAGCACTGGATTTCGGCTCTTCTCTCCAGGTTCTGGGCTCCGGCTCCGGGCTCTAAGCTCTAGTTCCACATTCCAGGTTCCGGGTTCTGGGTCTGGGCTCTGCATTCCTTCAGCCCCTCAGCGATAAGGGAAGAACAAAGTGGCCTCCCTGGCTAGGGGGGTTACCCCCGCCCACCCATCTTCAGCCTCGACTGGACTGAAGGTGGGACACTTGTTCTAGAGTTGTTCTTCTTGGCTTTCTACCTCTGCTCTACCCCCAAGCCAGTTCTCTAGAGACAGGTGCTAAGAGGGTCACAGAGTACCCCCAACCTGGACCCTTTAGGATTCACAAAATGCATGCACACATTCATGGTCCCAACTCTTCCTGGACCCCACCAGGACCACCTGAGACATGAATGGCACCCCCAGAGATGTGCCCAGCCTGGGCTGTGTCTGTTGATTCAATATAACAAGCTGTGTGTGTTCCTCTCTACCTGCCTATTTGCTTCCCTGTGGGAACTGAATTCCAGCCTCTCCACCCCCTGGGAAGCTGGAGTCACTTAACTACCAGGACAGCCCCCCTGCAGGGTGCACCTTGTGCTCACCCTTGGGGATAGGGGTGGCTGCCCCAGGGAGTACCCGGCCCACAGCTTTGTCAGCACTTCCAGTCAGGGCTCCAAGTAAGCTACCAGCAGCCGGTGCCTCTACCTGCCCCCACACTGGCCCAGAGCGTAGGTCACTGTGTGCCCTGTGCTGGTCCTATGCCCATCCTGTACTATCCCTTCCCCCAGCCCTGGGGCCCCCAAGGGGGTAGGGTAGGAGACAGGAGACATGTGGCAAGATTCTCTCTCAGAGGCTTGGGACTAGTCAAGCTAGGGTTTCATGGACATCCCAAGGAAGCCACAGCCACTGTCTTAGCCTCAGTGTCCTCTGTAAAACGGGAGTGTGGGGAAGGGTGCAGAGTGGTCAGCAAATGTATGTTCTCTCCCTTGCTGCACGCTGAGCACTGGGTACACAGGGCCAGCACCCCCCACCCCCCACCCCCATGCCCACCCCTACTCCCTCACCCCTGCCCCAGGCTCCCCCACCTGGTTGGGGGAGGGGAAGCAGCTCTACTACAGTTTTGGTTTCCCAACCACCTAGGAGCCCAGGCTCAGTGCAGTGGCTGTGTAACCTGGCCCTGTGGCTTGACGAGAACTGGTGCTCCTTGTCCCTGCCCCCATGTATGGATCTCTGTCCCTGCATGGGGTCTGGCCTAGCTAGGATGGTGAGGGCCCAGGGCCTTGAAGGATTCTGGGAGTGCAGAAACTGGGAGGAGGGAACCGGGTTTCCCTCAGCCCAGGGCTGCAGCAGGAGGTGTGTTTGGGGAGAGGCAGGATCTGCAGTGACAAAGAAGGGTCCTGATTATTATTATTATTATTAATTGCATCCTTTAAAAAAATTGAAGGCTAAAGTCTTCTTTAACCACTACCCCCAATCCAGGTCCCCTCCCCATCTCCCAGAAATAACCACTATTGTCAGTTTGGCGTGTATCCTTCTAGAACATTCTTTCTCCTTTCTGTACACTTGTAAGTGCTTGTTTGTATGTGTGTTTTATAGAAAGGTATCGTGCTATATGCATTGTTTGGCTTTATTTCACTGAACAATAACATTTCTTAGAGAAGTCTCCCTGTCAGGACATACTGTACTCAATTCTTTCTCTGCAGTGTGATATTCCAGAGCATGGAGATGCCACAGTGTGTTTTGTTATCTGCCCCCCTCCCCACTGCCCTGTCCACATTTGGCTGTTTGCCAGTTTTGGGGTTATAGACAATGCTGCAGGGATGCGCCTCCTTGCTGCTAGGAGGGAATGATTCTCCAGGAGCGCTGCTGGAGTCACACGCTATGTGTTTTTAGTTTTAACAGAAACTCCCAAACTGCCCCTCAGAGTAGCCATAGCAATGTACCCTCCCACGAGAGGGCATTGACTCCTTGTCAGGGGTTTCTGCAGTGTCTGTGCCCTTCCTGGTGTGTGTCCTGTAGTTGGACAGCCCTGAGTGCTCCTGTGACAATTCCTTGCAGGATCCTGGCCTGGTCACTTCCCTTCCTGCAGCCTCGGTTTCATCCCCCCCAGGCTGTTTTGTGGTGTGGCCAGTGACATAAAGGATGGAGTGTGTCTAACTTGGGGGCCTCAGTAAATATGAGCTGCACCCCTGCAGGGGCCAGCCTCTGTGTGAGCTCTTTCTCTTGGCCCATGACCCCCTCCCTCATGGAGCTGGGACCCCTAAGAATAACAGGTATCACTGCTGGGTCTACAGAGGTGCAGGGTTGGGTAAAGGGTGGGTCTGACCTATAGGACCTACCAACTCCCATCTCTCACCTCTCCATCCTGCGGTGCATGGAAGGGTGTCCCTTCTCACAAGGGAGAAGCCCCACATCCCAGGAAATTTGAGGGAGGTTCTGCAGCTGGTGGGGGCCGGGACATGGGCTTATCTCCCTAGCCTCACTCCTGGTCACAGACTGGACCCTGGTGCTAAGCAGTTCCCTGCCCAGGGCCTGCACTGCCCTGCTGTCCTGGCATCCTTTGCTGAGACTGTCTTGGGCTGTGGCATCATTTGTCAGTCCACTAAGCCAAGGGGACACGACAGTGAATAAGATGGACAAGGTCCCTCCCATCAGGGCACTCACATTCCACTGTCAGCAAATTCATGTAAAATAAGTCAATAAGATATTCACAGAGTGTGATCAATGCTGCACAGGAAGAAAACAGGATAAGGTGTCAGAGAACTAAGGTGAGGTGCACTTTCTATAGGGTGACCAGGAAGTCTTCTCTGAGCTCTTCAAACTGAGATCTTCAATGAAGTAAGATTTTTGTGGTTTCGGGAGTCCCTGGGTGATGCAAATAGTCAACCGGTTCAGCTGCTAACTGAAAGGCTGGAGATTCAATTCCATCCAGAGGTGCCTCAGAAGAAAAGCCTGGTGTCATGGATTGAATTGTGTCCCCCCAAAATATCTGTTAACTTGGCTAGGTCATGATTCCCAGTGTTGTATGATTGTCTACCATTTTGTCATCTGATGTGATTTCCTTATGTGTTGTAAATCCTATCACTATGATGTAATGAGATGGATTAGTGGCAGTTATATTGATGAGATCTACAAGATTAGCTATTGTCTTAAGCCAATCTCTTTTGAGATATACAAGAGAGAAGTGAGCAGAGAGTTGGGGACCTCATACCACCAAGAAAGCAGTGCTGGGAACAGAACGAGTCCTTTGGACCTGAGGTTCTTGTGCTGAGATGCTCCCAGACCAAGGGAAGACTTATGACAAGGACCTCCCTCCAGAGCCAACAGAGAGAGAAAGCCTTCCCCTGGAGCCAGCACCCTGAATTCAGACTTTAGCCTACTGGACGGAGAGAATAAACTTCTCTTTGTTAAAGTCGTCCACTTGTGGTATTTCTATTATATCAGCACTGTGTAACTAAGACATCTGGTGATCTATTTCCCAAAAAAATCAGCTACTGAAAACCTTATGGAGCACAGTTCTACTCTGACACACATGGGGTTGTCATGAGTTGAAGACAACTCAACAGCAACTGGTGTTTTTTGTGGTTGCAGGTCTTAGAAATCTGACTCAGAGTAACAAACGCACACAGATACACGAAGAATTTATTGGCTTGCTTAATGAGAAACTCTAGGGGTCATTGAATGGCTGAATCCAGGCGTTCACATAATTTTGTCTAAAATCTCTTTCCGTCTCTTGGTTCTCCTGTCCCGTGTTGTCCTCATTCATACTCAGATTCTCTCCACGCAGGGCTTTCTACAAACTCACCATCCTCAGGAGATGGTAGAAAATGACCAGGATTGGGATTCTGCTTGGGACAACTTGAGTCAGAGGACCATTCACCCCTGAACCACTGTGGCTAGGGAAAGAGAGTACTCTGATTGGCCAGGCCTGGATCATGAGCTCACCCCAGCAGCCAGGGGGTGGGGTCAACCTAGCCAAAGAAAACGGGCCAAGGGGGTCAGAGGGCTGAAGCTCCCAAAGGCAGGCTTGGGTTCAACTCTGGAGAAAGAGATGGTGGGCCAGCAAAACACAATGTTCCCTCCCACTGATTCCAGGAATGACAGAGAACCAATGACACTATATGAGGCAGGTGGCGTTCCAGAGGTGACAGCAGGTGCAGAGACCTGGAGTAGGGGAGAGAGATCGAACTCCTTAAGGCATCAGGAGATCTCCTCACCTTCGGGTGACTTCTCGGGCGCCCATATCTCCTTGCTTCCTCTGTTGCAGCACTTACCTTTCTGGGCCCCTCCTTCTGGGAGGTCCTCCCTGCTCCCTCTCCCTGTGGGGGCTCTGAGCTTGCCTGGCTGCCTGAGACAGGAAAGACCTCCCAGCCGAAGCAGGCAAGGGTCAGAATCTGCCCCCTGGCCCCGCCAACAGCCAGAGTCTCCCACACAGGGCTTCCAATGCATGCAAAAGGGCCACCAGTCAAGCTTGAGACACTCAGTCCCTAACTATGGGTCCACACAGAAAGCAGAGGACAATGGCCAGAACGATGTACGCAGACCCACAGAGGCTGCAGAACAGTACTCCGCCTCGCAGAGGCAGCTCCCCAGAGAGTTCTCCCCTCCCTCCTCTCTTCCTCCCGTTTGCTGTCTCTCTCTCTCTCTCATGCACACACCCCATAGTCTGGGCAGTCAAGAACAGAGCTTCTGACAACAGGAAGTCAGGAGGTACATCCTGAGATCACCAAGAGCTTCCTGACACTGACCTTGGTGACAGAGGCAGTGTGGTTTGGGGTGCGGGGGGGAAGAGGCGCACAGGACAGACTGGCACACAAGGAAAACACCTCATGGCTGAATAATAATAATTATTATAATAACAATATCATACATCCAGGACATACCCAGCTGCCCCAAAGCCAACTGCAAAATCCATATGTACAGTCCAGTCTGTGTCGGTGGAGAGAGAGGCTGCCCACCTGTACCCCAAGGCCTGACTCATATCAGCAACCTGAGGGGCCCGGCCCTTCCTCCTGCTCCCCACTGAGTCCTGGCACAGTGTAGGGAGGCTGGCGCGGCCAACACCACCCCTCTGGGCTGGGCTCACCTCCCCCCAGGGGCCTGGCTGCAAGGGGAGAGTGGATGAGCCTGTGAGGGGTCAGGTGGTGGTACCCGTGGGGTGTGGCTCCCCTGAGCCCCCTCTCCACCCCTTTCCCACTCTTCCCATGGGCCTGCCCATGGAAGACGGGGCCAGGGACATTTATGGAACATATAGGGCATGCAGAGCGGACCCATGGCATGCTTGGCCCGCAGGTGCCATGCAGCCGGCCTGGACTGTCGGGCAGCTGTCAGAGGGCTGGGTGGCCAGTGGAGTCCAAGCAGCCGCCCCTGGGCTGGGTGGATAATTCAGTCTGTGGTGGGGCTTCCTGGGCACTTGGCCCTTGGGTGGGCAGCTGCAGAAATTCTGGAAGCACCAGGTCCTCTTTGCGCAGAAGGCCCCTCTGGTCGTGGGCCCCGCTGCTCTGCACCCGGTTCAGCAGCTCTACCAGGCCTGAGGGTGGTCGCAGAGTCAGGGGCCACCAGAGTCCTACTCCCCTCACTGAAGCAACAGCCTCCCAGATTCGAGCACCAATGGCCCCAGCTCCCAGTGCAGCCCCTCTGGTCTCCATCCCCTGCCTCAGTTCAAGCCTCTCTCATGGCACTCTCAAGGGCCCCCAACACCACTGCCCTGGCCCCTCTGGTCCCCAGCCTCCACCATCCCCAATGTACCTTCAATGTCACAGGTCTGCCGCTTCCCAGTGGCACTACAAGGCGGCTCGGCCAGCGAGTTAGTGGGTAGTGGATGAGAGTGGGAGGCCTTGTCCTGGGTCCTGGGCCTGCCGCCCTGTGAGAACGTTAGGTCAGAGCCACAGCCAGCAGGGGAGTAGCAGTGGATGGAAAGAAAAGGGCAGGACTCCCTGACCCTGGCTCACCTGGCTGCGGCGGGGGGACAGGTCGCTGGCGGCGGGGATCTTAGTACCTGTGGCAGAGAACGCCACCGTTCGGGTTCGCCTCCCGCCCAGTCCCGCTTTCTCCTTGGTCTGCACCAACCCTATGGGCCATGTGTCTCTGGGGGCCCAACGTCCCCTACCTGGGAGAGTGTCCAAAACCAGTCTCTGGGCCGTCACGGAGCTCACTAGCTTCTCCAGATCCAGCGCTTGCTTCTCGCCTGGCTGCGGGAGCAGGTCAGCAACCGGCAGGACAACCAGCCCGCCTCCCCGCCACCCCGTCCCTGCCCGCGATCCCGCCGCTTACCCGGTGCAGCGTCACCTGCTGCAGGCTCAGGTCGTGCTTCGCCAGGATAGGCTCCAGCGCCTCCTGCAGCCGCTTGGTGGGCTTGGCCGAGATCCGCACCACACGATCCAGCGCTGCCAACTCGAGCCTGCGCGGGACCCCGGGGCTGCGGAAGGGCGGAAAACCGGCCCCGCTCCCCTAACCCACCCTGCCCAGACTGGAGAAGGCAGAGCCTGAGCTAGGCGTAGGTGGGACTGACTTGGGGTCGTGGCCTTAGTCCAGAGGCAGGGCTATCACAGGGGGCAGGGCCTTGGGGGAGAGACTAGAAACCGCGACCCTCCATAGGGCGTGGGCCCGAGGCCCCAAGCTGCAGGGCGGGCACTCACTCGAAAGTGATCCTGTTCTCCAGCCGCACTTCCTGGTCCGCTAGCACGGTGCAGTCCTGATCCAGGACCAGGGCCTTCTGCGGACACCAAGCAAGGTCACAGTCCCTCCCTCACCCTGAGCCATCCCCAGGGTCTGAGGGAGCCACCGTCATTTCCTGACCTGGCCGCTATTGGGGATCCCTAGAGAGTTGGAAGGACAGCAGTAGAGGTGCAGATGGGGTAAGGCCAGGCTGGCATAGGAGCCTGAGGACTTGGAAATAGGGTGGCAAGAATGCTGGACAGAGTTTGGGAAAGGAACAGAATTATGGGAAACATGGGGGGGGGAGCATGAAACGGTCATCGGCTGCTTCAGTAAGGGGCAGCTTAGGTCCTGGATGATGGGTGCCGCCCCTTCTGGGCCAGGACTGAATCTGCCTCCAGCACAGCTGCCCCGTTGTCCATCAGGGCCAGGACTGAATCTGCCTCCAGGACGGCTGCCCCCTTGTCCCTCACACATCTGAACTCCAGCCAGTCCAGCTGGATGTACTTCCTCCTGCACTTTTGGTCAGCCACCCAGGCCTTGTTCCTTTTTTGACACCTGTTCGCTTTGCTCCATCCCCCCCTACTGACACATCTTGTCTCCTCACTGCAAAATGGGGCACCAAAGCCCACCTCCAAGACTGCTGTGAGACCAAAAATCAAATGCACTGCCATCAAGTTGATCCCAACTCATGGTGACCCCATGTGTTTCAGAGTAGAACTCTGCTCCAATAGGGTTCTCAGTGGCTGTAATCTTAAGGAAGTAGATTGCCAGGCCTTTCTTCCATGGCACTGCTACGTGAATTCAAACCACCTACCTTTTGGTTAGTAGCCAAGTGCACACCATTTAAGCCACTCAGGAGCCAGAGGGACATAAATCATCTGGCACAGTACTTGGCACACAGGAGGTACATAAATAGTGACTTGTGATTTCAGACTGCAGAGGCCCCATGTGCCTGCGCCAGGCCAGGGGGTGGGAAGAGACTGGGCCAGCCTCTCTCAGGCACTAGGCCTGTGCTGTGCTACAATGACAGCTGGAGTGTGGGTGTGAAGCTATATTTAGCTGGACATGAAGGCCCATCTGGGCTGCTGGCAGCTGCCCTGGCGGCCTGAAGTGGGCAGAGCTCCTCCTCATTGCTGCCCTCACACTGCCACGCTCCAGGCCCCTAACCTGTCCTGCGCTTACCCACCTCCATGCCTTTGCTTAAGCTGTGCCCTCTGCCTGGAATGCCCGGCCCCCTCATCACTGCCAAGCAAACTCCTCTGCATCCTCACCAATTGCTGCCTCTTCCATGAAGCCTTTCCAGACCAGCCAGAAATACCTGCCTTCCCCCCAGAAAACTCTCTCTGGAGGTTTGACTCCTTGGCCTGATGACATCCTGCCTGACTCACCTCCAGCCTGTGGGCCTGGAGGGCAGAGCCCAGGTCCTAGTACCTAGCCCACTGACCTGGCAGGGCCTTAGGACTTGTCTCCTGGGTTAAGGAAATCCTGACAAGCGCCCCTGGAATGCAGCCTTCTTCCTTTAGATCCCCCTCACTCGATGGTTTTGTTTAAAGTGAGTTTTTCCCTAGACTCCTCCTTAACACTTCACGCTAGTTTGCACCTAAAGGAAAGTTTTTCATGGATTAGGTGAGGTTGGGTGTCCCTGGTGGCAGAGGTGAGGACTCCCTTCAAATGGCCATTTCAGAAACAGACTGTGGAGATGGCAGTAGACTTCTGGGAGTGCTGGGGGGGCACCTTTACCTCCCTGAGACTATCCCAGTGAGAATGATACAACAAGTAGGAAACTGGGATGGGTATGGGGTAGGGTATAGGATCTTTGCAGAGATGAGGGTGGACGTCTGAGTTGAAGTGAGGAGCTGATGCTGGGGATGGGAGGCTGGAGTTAGAAACGGGGTGATGCCAGGGAATGCAGTTGGAATTAGGGTTGCTCCAGGAGATTGGGAATGGAGTTGGGGTTGGGGTCATGGCTGGGCAGAGACAGGAATATGGCTGGGGTCAGGATCAGGAAGGGGGATAGAGTCGGGGGCCAGGCCTAATTCGCACCTGCTCTTTGCCCACCAGGTAGACCTTGATGTCAGATAGGGAGAGGCCTCGTTTCTCACAGATGCCTGCCAGCATGTCACGGATGGTGAGGCCAGGTCGGGCCAGGGCCAAGGAGGCTGTGCCATCAGGCAAATACACGCAGCAGTACTTCCCTGGCCGGCTTTCGCTCTCACCCTCTGCACTCCCAAGGCTCTTCCGGTGGCTCTGGTTCTGGGCAGGAGTAGGGGGATGGTTATGTGTACACATGCAAGGGCATGCAGACAGGTACAGAGACAGGTACACAGGTATGCTCACTGGGGTACACACACACACACATACACACGCCCAAGGGCACACCTGGCACACCTGTTGGCAGGCAAAGATACAGCCTCCTACAGGAACACATGTATGCACACCCAGGCATATGGGCACCCAGAGACAGGTCCACCCTTGGAGCCACACACACACATGCTGTGTACACCTGGGCAGATGTGTCCACCAGTGGGGACCCACACATACCCACACAGAAAATGTGTGCCCATGACATGCATAGGATCCAATGTGGTGAGGACAGGAAGAAGGCTGAGGAATTGAGTCCGCAGAGCAAGCCAGAAGATGAAAGTCGAGACCGCAACTGGGAATGATGGCGGCCATGAAAAGGGGCCTGAGTAGTGGCCCTAGCCCGCACCTCATCTCCCCCAGCAGTTGGCTCACCTCAGATTTGCTGCTGACGAAGGCGAGGAAGCCGAGATCCAGACTGGCAGAGGAGTTTAGGGACCCCTGAGACTCGCGGCGCAAGTTTGCGACCCCGCCTGCCGGCTCTGGGGGAGGAGGAGCAATGAGAGGAACAGCTCTTCCTCCCTCCACCCACCTCTCCGCCGCCTGACCCAAGAGTCGGCGTCTCCAGAACCTTGTTTGGCACCCTCTTGCAGAGGTCCAATGTGCTTTGGGTCCCTGGAAGCGTCGCTACCTTGGAGGCTTCCCAAACTTCTGGGGTCTAGCCTGGGAACGGAACCACCCCGGGGAACGTGGTGGTCACAGGGACTGCCTTTCGGTGGGGCAATTAAGAGAGACGGGGCGTTCCCAAGGCTAGTCCAAACTCCCACCACTCCGCCTCCAACCACCTCCCCTCTAAGCCGCCAGCTCCTACTCTCACCCCTGCGAAAGGACTTCCGGAGCGGGCGGCCCCCAGGGCCCTCAGCAGGCGGCAGTTGCCCCAACTCTTCCACACCCAGCGGCAGCGACTTCCCGGGCTTCAGTTTCGGCTTCTGCGGGTACAGGGAAGGCGCTGGCACGGGATCGGATCCTAGCCAGCATGCAGACCATGGGCACACCCCCACAGATCTGCCCCCAGGGGCGTCCCCTCTCCCATAGGGTCTGCAAGGTCCCTGCCTCCCAAGGCCCCTCCTCCCGCACCTTCCTCGTGGCGTCCGGGCTGCCGAGGCGTGAGGAACCAGGTTCCCGCAGAGGGCGCCCCTCGGCCTCGGCCAGGAGGCACTCGCGGTACAGGGGGGACTTGACGAAGCGCGCGTAGCTGTCGAACTTCATTAAGTTGAAGATCTGCAGGGCAGGAGCCAGGACTATGAGCCGGAGTGGGCTCTCTGCGCGCTGCCGGCGACCCCGCCCCCAACCTAGGGAGGAAGCCCCTACCCGCCACCCACCCACCTCAGGTCCTTAGGCCCACCTCCACGGTCCAGGCTCCACCCCTGCTCTTGGCCCCGCCCCTATCTGAGCTAGACACGCGTGAAGGACTGCCCTAGCTCTTCCTCCACCACAACCCTTGGTAAGGCCCTCTAACCCAGGCCCTGCGCCTGCTTTAGGCTCTATAAACCAAAATCAAATCCGCTGCCGTCATAGCGACCCTATAGGACGGGCTCCACACCAAAGCCAAAAACCAAACCCGTTGCCATCAAGTCGACCCCTACTCATAGCGACCCTATTTTTCTCCCTCCGCTCAGGCTCCCCACCTTGATCTGACCCCGCCTCTGCTGTCAAGTCTCCCCTTTCCAAAGCCATGCCCTCCCATCCCAGACAGCGCCCCCTAGGCCAGCCCACCTGAAGCTGCGGCGCCCGGAACATGTCCGGCCGGGGCTCGGCCAGTACCTCTTCGCCGAGCCAGGCCTGCCGATCGATGTTCACTGGGCTCAGCGCCTGGCTGGACAGGAACTCCTGGTAGATGCTGCGGGCCTCCTGGGCTAGCTGGGGACGAGGGGCAGAAGGAAAAGGTCAGTGGGCAGCGAGCACGGCCCAAACCCTGGCCCCCAACCCGATGCCCCAGCTCTCCGTCTCCCCCACCTGCTGGGTGTCACTGGCCGGGATCTGTTGGAAGCGCTCGCAGGCCTTCCAGAAAGTCACGTTCTCGGCGCTGAACTCCTTCTTCAGAAACTCCTGGGGGGGAGGGACGGTGGAGGGGAGGCAGGCAGAGACACAGAAACCCAGTTAGGAGATGTGGTCGGGGATTGGGACAGCGACAGGGCCAAGAGGCCAAGCCAGACAGATAGGGCCAGACAGGCAGACAGCGTCGGATCCGGAGATGCAGGGAGAAAATGAGAGGCAGAGACAAGGACAGAGAGAAGGAAGAAGAGTTCTCTGCTGGGAGGAGATGAAAGGAACGCCAAAGAAAGGCTACCAGAGGGCTAGACAGGAGCCATACCCTCACCAGCCTGAAGCAGCTCCATCCATGCCCTCTCGTGCCTCCAGCCGCTCCCCCTTCATGGCCACTTACACCCACCCTCCTCACCCCACCCCAGGGCTTACAGTGAAGTAAGCCAGGCCCAGCGGGTCCTGCAGCAGCCGCTCAAAGGACAGGGCCCAGCTGGCCACAGGCTGCTCCTCAGTGGGGAAAGGGCTGCTGGGGCCGCTGGGGAGGCTGTGGATGCTGAGGGAGCTGCCTCTGCCCTGGTCCTGGGGCTCCGCTACACTGCTCAGCTCTACAAGGGGATGGATAAGTGGGAGTGAGTCTTATGCCACCCCTGCCCAGCCTTATCCACATTCCACGTACAGTCCCTGGAAAGATAGCACGTGGTAAGGGTGCCCCAACTCATCCCCACCCCCACCCCCAGCCAGGCTTCCCACACACCTCGTCACTTACCTCCATCTGAGACAGCCAGAACCTAAAAGAGAACCGAGGTAGAAAGTCAGAGCAGAGCCCAGGGAGGATCCCCAAGGGACAGTCCCTGCTCAGCATGCAGGAACTGGATTTGTGCTCTCCCTCCCCTGCCTGGAGGGCCACCCTGGGCAGCCCAGCCACACCTCTACTTGGTCAGGGTTTAGCTCAGACAGCCTCTGGCTCCTGTTCATATCACGTGGCAACCACTGTGTGCTGGGACTTAGGCAAAGTACCGGACAGTCATCCCTGGCTCACTCCTCCCCCAGCCCCTGCTGGGTGGGCCCAGCTGTATAGCATGGTGGGTAGGAGCACAGACTTTTAATCCTATCTCTGCCACTTACTAGCTGTGTGACCTTGGGTGAGTTCCTTAACCTGCTTGTCTCTGTTTCTCCATCTATAAATAGGGGATGATACTAATAATAGTAACTCACTTCCTGGGGCTGTTGTGAGGATCAAATGAGTTTAATATAGGATGGTGGCCAGCACATGGTAAGTGGCCTATCACTGTTTGCTGTTGTCTGTGAGGAGGCAGAGGTGTCTCTGTAGCCAGTGATCTCCTTATTGCAATTGTTTCCTCTTGGGGCTCAGGGTCTCCCACAGGCCCACCCCACCTTGGGCGCAGCACACCATGTTATACTATATAGTATAGAGCAGTGGTTCTCAAACTTGACCACGAACTAGAATGACCTGGAGAACCCCACCTGCAGAGATTCCGGTTCAGTAGGTCCAGAATGGGGCCTGAGGCTCTTCATTTCTAACAAGCTCCCAGGCAATGCTGATGCTGCTGGTCCACGGACCACACTGTGAGCAGCATTGCTGTACAGGCTGACTCCATCTTCCCCTTCTACCCTACTAAAGCACAGCTCAGACATCTCTGGGAATCCCCCCTTAGTGAAGTAGAAAAACTCTCCTCTCAAAATGACTATTGCAATGGTCTCCCTGGGTCTCTTCCTACCTTTCTAGCAGCTCCTCCAGCTTTCTCATCATCTACCCAGAGCAGCTTCTACCCCTCCCTGGCTCTGTCCTGGGCCCTTTCTCCCACCCATATATCCCCAGCTCCAGACACACATAGCCAACTTCCTGCAAGCATCTCCCCACAAAATGTCCCATAAGCCTCTCTAACTCAGCCAGTCCACCAATGGAACCCACCTCTGCAGCCACAAAGGCAGGGTGCCGAACCTGCTTCCCTGCACCCTGTCTTTCTTCCCATCACCAGGGCTCTGAACTCCAGGGCTTGAATCATCCCCAGTTCTTCCCTACCTCTCACCTCCTACATTTTTCACTTGGCCCTGTCTCGGGGAGCTTTCTACCACCAGTCCCTTCTTTCCAGCCCCACTGGAAACAGGCCTGCAAACATCTCCTCCCCCAGGAAGCTGCTCCCTGCCCTCCTTGCTGAAATCTCTGCTCTTTGCTCCCAAAGCACCCTGGTAGCACCCAGGTTACAGAGATCTAGATCTAGAGCTGGATCTAGCTCTCAGATATGTAGGATATTAGAGCCCCTGAGTGGTGCAAATAGTTAATGCACTTGGCTGCTAACCAAAAGGTTGGAGGTTTGAGTTTACCCAGAGGCACCTCGGAAGAAAAGCCTGGTGATCTACTTCCAGAAAACAAGCCATTGAAAACCCTATGGAGCATAGTTCTACTCTGACACACTCATGGTTGCCATGAGTCAGAATCAACTTGACGGCAACTAGTATAAATATTTTGGCCCTGAGAATTTCTTTTTTTTTAAAGTTTTAAAGGGGTTTCTCACATTTAAAAATCAGGAGATCTTACATAAAAATCCAGTTTTCTGTCTCCTCTTTAAGACTGTGATGTTCCAGCAATCCTGAGCTTCTTTCCAGAATGACAACCTTGGCTGGCACTGAGCAGCAACCCCTGCCCCGCGCAGGGACTCATGCTCTCCCCAAGTGGCCTCTGGGGCCTGTTTGACATATTTGTTATTTGTAGAGGCAGTGGTAGGCAGGGACTGCCTCAGACTGCCTGAGTTCAAGTTTGTGCTGTGTGACCTCTCTGTGCCTCAATTTCCTCCTCTATAAAAACGGAGCAAAAAATGTTATTGACTTCAAAGAGTTGTTGCGGATTAAATGAGTTAGATACATATAAAGATCTTAGACCATTATCTGGCATGTAGTCAGTGCTCAAGGGATGTTAGTTACTATTATTGTTATTGTATGGGTGTTGGTGCCTGACCCAGCTAGGGATTTGAGTTGGTGACCCCTGCCATAGAGGAAAAAGCACAGGCTTTGGGGTCTGCCGAACCTGGATTCAAATCCCAGCCCTACCTCTTTCTAGTTTTACAGCCTCAGGCTCCTCTCTGAGCCTCGTCTCCCACCTGGAGCATGGGGATAAGTCGCTGAGGAGGAGAAAAAGTTTGTGCAGAGCATAGCTTAGCACGGAACCGGTTCCCCCCGCCCCCCCACCACCACTCCCTGCCGAGGCGGCCCTTGTTCTCCCTGCCCCTGCACTCCCCCATGTGACCCGCTTTAATAGTGACATCTCCCTGAACGCGGGCCATGGCTACTGGAGAAGTCTTGACTTCTCTGGGGCTGTGCAAGATGGACAGAGCTGAAACCCTTCCCTACCCAGCCCAAGGTTCCTTTCCAGCCTGCTTGCTTCCTTCTTGGCAACGGGGCGCCATCACTCATCCCTGCCACTGCCTGCCCCCGTGTGCCCCTCCCTGGATGCTCTGCCACGCTGCTCCCAACCCCAGGGATGCCATCCAGGAATCCTTCTGCCTTCCCCTTTCCCTTGCTGTTGCTGCCTGGTCCCGCCCTCCTCCCGAAACCCTTTGCTTTGCTCAGAGCCCTCCATGGCTCCCAGCACAGAGCAGAGGTCTCTGAGAAACCCACTTGGGGCAAGGCCAGCCCACACGCCTATTTTGTTTGGCCCGCAGAGGTTTTGATTTTTACACTGTTTAACGGACTGTCTGTGTCTTCAGGTGGGGCTGGCCCTACTCCTCCCCATTGTCCCACCTGGCCCCACTCCTGCTCTGGGAGGCCTGGGAGTTGCCAGTTTTGCAGCCTGAAGTCCCACCTGGGCCTGACTCATGCACCCCTTCAGCCTCACCAGTTTCTCTCCCCCTCACCTCCACCCTGCACTTTAGCAAACTTTTCTATTCCCCCTACACCCTTGCACACTCTGGCTTTCTGCTTTGCTCTTTCCTCTGCCTTGATATCTGTTCTTGCTCCCCCCACCAGACGGCCCCCGAGTCCCTGCCTGTTGAAGTTAGTCATCCCCAACACGAGTCCTCCAGAGATTTCCCTTCCTGCCAAACCGGTGGCCAGTCTCTCTGCCCTGCCAGTCTGGTAATTCCCGGGGGGCAGACCTGATTTGCAGGAGGTAGCTGATCTGAACCCCAACCCTAGGAGGCACCCTTCTTGCCCTGGTGCTCCCAAGCAGCCTTGAGGGCCCTGAGCCCCCTCCTCTGCCCTTCACCAGGGAGGCCAAACCTCTGGACGCCTAGCAGCCTGAGTGACCCCACCGTCCACTGCCTGCAGATCTCCCTCTTGCTCCACTAGTTACTAGTCATACAGTTGGGGTTGAGATAGAGTAGGGACAGAAATTTAGAGGTGAGAGGGAGTGGGGATGGAGTCCAATTCTAGCTCTATCACTTGGGGGCAAGTAACTTCTCTTCTCTGAGCCTCAGTTTCCCCCTGGTAGCATGGGGCTTAGAATTTCCAACCTCTTTGGGCAATGGTAAAGTTCAAGGTGGCCCGTATGTGAAAGCACCAGGCATGCAACAGTCAGGGCAGCATTGCGGGCAGAGTGGGATGCAGCGTCCTGAGGGCCAGGCTCTGACCTGCTGGCTGCCAGGCCCAGGGAAGCTGTGCTGAGCAGGGATGGCCTTGCCCCGCCCAGTTTGCTTGAGGAGAAGTGGTGAGTGAATGGAAGAAAAGGGGAAGGAAGGTGAGGGAGGGTGTGGTGGCCAGTAATACCCCAACGCATGGTCAGACCTCAATTTTCCATAGTTCTTCTTAGGAAATGGGCCCTGGGGGAGTCGCTGGTACCTGAGTGAGTGTGAAGCCCAAAATTTCCTGAGCTCCAACTGTGCAATAGGTGCCTTCTGGCAGCACACACCCATGTTGTCACTCCATCCTTACATTTTTATCCTCTGTGGCAGGCATTACCCCCATTTTACGATGAACAGACCGAGGCGCAAAGAAGTCACACAACTGGGAAGTGGCAGAGCTGTGGTTAGTGCCCAGGTTTGCCTGACTGAAGTCTGAGGTCTTCCCTCACCCAAGCTGCCTCCCCTGTGGACTGGAGCTTTACTAGGGAGAGGTTGGAGGACACAGGCCCTCAGCCCTTGGGGCACAGGTGGGCAAAGTCAGTGGTGAAGGGCTCAGGGGCTCCCATTGAAATCTGCCCTCTGGAGGGATCAGATCTCAAAGGGAGGGCCGAGTTACTGAGCATCTGCTGTGCTGGCCACTCTATCATCATCTCAGTTCATCCTCACTTGGGGGAAACTGAGGCTCTGGGACCTTCTCTGGGAATGCCCCACAGAACTCTGGGTGCCTGGCCCCATCAACTTATGGAGCTGACACCCAGCCTGGGCCTTTCAGGAGGGCCACCTTGCACGTGAATGCCCAGCCCAGAGGGGTCCAGTGGTTGCCTCGTAGTTGTTCCCATAGGTGGAGAAGACAGACGGGCGTGATAACTGCCCCCTCTCCAGGTTTAACTTCAGCCTCCCCTCCCTACGACTACACCCTGTGTCTGCCACGTCCAGGCCATGCTGTTTTTCCTCCACTGGGCGGCACGTCCTTTAGCACCATCTTCTACAAAGAAGTTAGTTCCTCCTCAGGTCCTCAAAAACTTTGTCTATACCCGACCCGGGGCTCTTACCCAAATCTAAATTTTATCTAGTTTTTTCACCCATGTCTTTTGAGCCTTGCTAGACTGGGAGCTGCTGGAGGACAGGGCCTAGGTCTCATGTACCTGGGACTTGAGTGCCTAGGACTGGTTGGCACAGAGCAGGCATTAAGGAGGGTCTGTTGAATGAATCAATGAACAAACGAACAAGTGAATTGGCAGTTTGGGCTGTATGAAGACATCTCTGGGAGGGGGCTGGGAGCCATCTCTAAGTGACAGGATTCATTGCAACTGCCTGACAAGCTGAGTGGCAGAAAGATGGGCTGACAAAAGGAGCTGCCTCAGCAGGGATGATGGCAGTGGGGGGAGGTGGCAGGTGGAGGGGGAGGACCCCAGCCAGGCAGTGCAGGAGGTGGGAGAGCACTGGAATTGGAGTCAGCTCAGCTGGGTTCAAATGCAGGCCCCTCTGCTTGCTGCTAACCTTTGGTACGTCATTGAGCTCCACTGAGCCTCTCTCAGAGGTCACTTCTGGAAGGAATGAGACACTTGGCCCCCAGATGCCTCTCTGTCCACATCTCTGCCATCGAGGCCAGGCTAAGACACCTGTCCACCTACCCTATCCCAGCTGGGCAGTGCCCCAGACTGTTGCCCAGTGGCCAGGAAGCAGCCAATCTGTGACCCTTAGCATTCCAAGAGGTGGCACAGAGAGTTCAGAGGGGGCCCAGAAAGGGCAAAGATCAACCTGTGTGTGAAGGTTGCTGGGAGGAGCCAGGGTGTCCGTGGGCTTGACAGGCAGGGTGCAGAGGTTGGGGTGCCCTTCCTACTCTGAATGACTTTGGGGTAGAGAAACCCTGGGTTGACACAGGAGGGACAGGGGCTGGGTCTGTCTCCAGGCCCCCCAGCTGCCCTGCAGTACTGGGCACCAATTCAGCCGCCCCTTCCTTAAGAGAGGGGTGGGCCTGGGTCTGCTCCACCTCGGCTGTGTGGCCTGGACATGCAGGGAGGGTCAAGCTGAGAGTCGTGGCTTCAGGGGTGGGAGTGTGAGGAAGATGGAGCCCTTTGGAGCTTTCAGAGTTGGGTTGGTGAGAGAGACAGTGAGAAGGGGGCTGGGCCAGCTTTGAGGGTTTGACTCTCTCCCACCTAGCCAGCCTGGGGCTGAACAGTAAGAGATGCTGGAAGAAGGAGAGATGGAGACAGGTCTTGGGAATTAGGAGGCAGGGGTGGAGGTGAGGGATGCCTCAGCTTCTTTGTGAGGCAGGAGATCCTTGAGGAAGGGCTGAGAATGAAGGGGGGCATTGGATTGATATTTATGGGTCCCCCATAATGGGTTAGGGTCCTCATGTTTATCACTCCACTTAATCATTTCAACAAGCCTTTGAGATCCTTTCCAATCTCCCCATATTTCAGATGACGAAACTGAGGCTCAGAGAGGAGTCCTACCCTTCTCCAGTAAGGAACCCTGGTCCCTCTGGATCCAGTGGGGCTGAGTAGGGGGCGAGGACACTGGCTGGCCTTCCTGGGGTTATCGGGAGGGGCTGGAGCTCTGCCAAGTGGCCTGGGGGCTTAGGGAGTGTAGGAGGCCCAGCACTGCCTGCCCTATCTGCCAAATGAATGAAGAAGCTGCATTCTTCAAAGGTGGCCCCTACCCCGGGGCCAAGCAGCCAGGGAGAGGGTGCAGGAGTGGGTCAGTGCAGCCAGGGCCGTCTTAGTGCCCAGTGCCACCCCCTTCCAGGAAGGGATTGAGCAGGTAGAAACTGCACTAATCACGTCACCCTCCCCGCAACCTAGTCTGACCCTGCTGACCAGGCTGCCCAAGGACCGAGAGTTTTGGCAGAGAAAGCCTATGCAGCAGGTCCAGGTGCAGGGCAGTGACCCAGCGAGGGCTGCCCCTTTCCTGTCTATCCTGGCTTTGGGCACCAGGGACCTGGGGGGAGGAGGGAAGGGCTGAGGTTGAGGCTGAGTGAGGTGTGGGGGTTCGAGCCACTCTAGGGGTGGGCAGAGGGCAAGGGCCCGTCCTCTCCCTGCTGCCCGAGGACACAGACAGCCTAGACAGTGCCAAAGTAGCAGATGAGGGAGCAGTGGGGGTTGATCAAAAGCTGTGCCCACTCTTCCCTGGCCTCATCCCTAAGGTCCCCCAGGTCCCCAGCTGAGCTGCAGCTGGGAGGGTACTGGGGCAAGGGTGTCAGTCCCACTGTCTGCTGCTGTTCCCAACTTCTGTTTGCCGGCAGCCACAGGCTCTTGCTGGGCCCTGACCGGGTGTGCCTCTGGGGCTCCGCCCTAGGTGTGCCGATCCCTCCCTGTGGCCCTGGCCCAGAGCCCACACTCACCATGCGCCCGTTGGGGACGCCCAGGTGCTTGGGCTTCCCTGGCATGCCGCTGCTGGTCACAGGCCCCCGCCGCAGGGGGTGCCCACCATGTGGACAGTGGGCAGCGCCGGTCAGAGCTTGCAGAGCGGGCGGGCCGCAGAGAAAGCCCGGCTCCGCTCCTGCGGGCCCTCACATCCTGAAACACCAGCTCACTACCTCTTTTCTCTGCCACAGGAAGTGTCTCTATAGAAACCAAACCACAGAAAGAAGCAAGGTCTAAGAGAGCGAACAACTCTTCCTACACGCGCGCATGCACACACACACACACGCACATTCATGCACTCACACACACCGCCAACACATCCCTGGCAGCACCCCACGCAGGCACCGAAACACGGCAGGGCCTTGGCGTGCCCAGCAAGGAGCCAGCCTGGTCTGGCCTGGCTCAGGAAGCTCCAAAGTCACGTCTGGGCACACAGAAGTGCACATTTATATGCCCGGGCATCTTCGTACACCCTGGCAGGGGTCCTTGTGGTCACGAGTGCACATGCATTGGGACCTGCTGGTCCCACGTGTACTGCACTCAGTACACATTTATACCTACTGTGTGTCAGGCCTCTGCACACTCAGGGACACCCTCCTCTGACACCCACAGGCTGTCTCCCCATGCACATGCTCAGGTATGCAGACAGATGGACACCTTGCATGCATGGCCATGCACACACAGACCATTCAAGTGTGCACATCATAAACACACAGACTGTCCCTTGAAGGAGGCACCTGGGCACTCGGTCATATACATGCACAGCCCCTCAAACAGGTGCGGGGCACAGGCACAATCTGTACACGGGCACATGTGTATTCAGGCATGCACATGCTCACCCACTGGGGCAGGTAACCTACGTGCAGTCATACTCACATAACAGTCCTGCCATGGTACAGCACTGGTGGGTGGGCCCTGCCCTCTTGGCCCTGGCCCAGTCCTGGATGAACTCAGGTCCTTTAGCCAGAGAGTCCTCAGTTTGCCTCTTTCTTACACACGCATGTACCTACTATGAGGGCTCATATTTTACTCTAAGTATGGGCCTACTTGGAGCTGTCAAGTTACCTACCACTATGGTCTCAATCACTCTTTCTAATAGACAAGGCAACATCTCTCATCTATATTCTATCCTCTGCCTCACCACCCCCTTCTAGGGCAGTGACCTGGACCCTTCCTCTTCCTTCTGGGTACACAGTTAAACTTGATGTCTCAGGCTCCATGTGACTAGCTCCCCACAACTGAATGCGAGTGGAACAGTATGTACTGTTTCTGGGCCAAGGAAGTAAGTGGGTGCCCCCCACACTATCTCTTTTCCCTTTAGCTGGCTGGATACAGAAGGTGACGAGGCCCTAGGGGAGACTGTGGAGCCACAAGGAGGAAGGGGCCTGGGTCTCTGCATTAGTGCCGGATGGCAAGCCATCCATCAACCAGGAACACTAGCTTTGGACTCTTACGTGAGTGAAAAAAAAAAACTTCTGTTGTATTCAAGCCATTATTGGGCTCAAATAGAGCATAAGGGTTTATTTGTTACAGCAGCTAGCATTACCCTAGCTGATATGCCTCTTTTTCCAGCCGTGACTCTCTTTTTTCCAGAAACTCTGCTCCAGGACATACAGACAGAGAGATTCAGACAGACTTGGTATGTGTCTGGGGTGGGGTTAGGGGGGTGCCACCGGGTCTGGAACACTGCCAATGGTGATCTTAATAAGGTGTGTGACTGTGTCAATGTGACTGTGGGGGGTGTGTAAGGTGTGTGCTGTGAGTGGGGACTACTTGTCTGCTGTGCCATGGACCTGGGCCTAGGCTTTATAGGGGACTTTACTGTTTGTGGAAAACTGGGCGGTACAAAACGGTTAATGCACTTGGCTGATAACTGAAAGGTTAGTGGTTCAAGTCTACCCAGAGGTGCCTCAGAAGAAAGGCCTGGTGGTCAGGCATTGAAAACCCTATGGAGCACAGTTCTACTCTGACACACATGGGGTCGCTGTGAGTCAGAGTCAACTCAACAACAACTGGTTTACTGTTTACCGTTTACAGGGTCTTCTCCCAACCTGACTTCATTTGATCCTCATAACCACTTTCTAAGTGATGCTCATTATTCCCATTTTACAGAACAGAAAACTGAGGTTCAGAGAGAAGTGAGTTGCCCAAGGTTACACATCAAGTTAGAGATCTGCTGAGCTGTGAATGTGTGTTCTTGTGGTGCCAGGACCTGGCCACCATCAGCCTGAGTCTTGCCCAGGTTCCAACAGCTCATCTTTCCCTAAAGGCCCAATCACAGGTTCTACCTGGGAATCTCTCTGAATCCGTCCTCTCCTGCTGCTGCAGAGATGCCTCTCCCCACCTCTCCTTCATGGATGCCAATTCCAGCTCTGGCCACATCTTCACCTCAGGGACCCCAGCTGACCCTGGGACTTCCCATCTCTTAACCCTTATCTAGTTTTCTCTACTCCATGATAGTGGTGGGGTACCTCCACAGGAACAGTGTTCTCAACTTCTTTCTCCCTGGTTCCCCACAGGGATCAGTTACTGGTGTCCAATCTCTCTCTGGGACTTCTCCTGATCCTCCTTCCCTGTGGAGACCTCCTTGGCTCAGACCTCACCCTCTATCATCTGGTCATAAAACCAAACCCATTGTCGTTGAGTCGATTCCGACTCATAGTGACCCTATAGGACAGAGTAGAACTGCCCCATAGGGTTTCCAAGGAGCAGCTGGTGGATTTGAACTGCCAGCCTTTTGATTAGCAGCCAAATGCTTAACCACTCTGCCACCAGGGCCCCTATGTTACCTGCCTCCTATCTCTTCACATGGTAGCCAGAGAAACCTACATCTGTCACCACCGTGCTTAAATCCATCCCACTACCCTCTGGAAAAAGGCCATGTTCCTTAGCTGGAAATTTAAAGGCCTTTGAGTTATAGCCTCAGCCAAACTCTCCGCCCCCCACTTCTCAGCCATTCCAAACTACTTGTATCTTATACTTTCAAACAACCCTCCCTGCCTTTGCCTTTCCTGTTCTCTCTGCTGAGAATGCCTTTCCATTTCTGATAAACTACTCATCCCTCATGACTTAATCCCAAGTTCTAGAGCAAGTATTCATTTCTTCACCAATTAGTTAGTTATCACCACCTATGTGCCAGGCACTGTTCTAGATGCTGGGGATTTAGTAATCTGTTGCCATCAAGTCAATTCCGACTCATAGCGACCCACAGGACAGAATAGAACTGCCCCATAGGGTTTCCAAGGCCGTAATCTTATGGAAGCTGACTGCCACATCTTTCTCCTGTGGAGCAGCTGGTAGGCTCAAACCACTGATCTTTCAGTTAGCAGCGGAGTGCTTAACCACTGCACCACTACGGCTCTCAGGGTTTAATAGTGACCATAAAAACCAAAAACCAAACTTATTGCCATTGAGTCTATTCTGACTCATGGTGGCCCCATGTGTTACAGAGTGGAACTGCTTCATAGGGTTTTCTTGACTATAATCTTTATGGAGGCAGATTGACAGTCCTTTCTTCCACAGCACCGCTGGGTGGATTTGAACTGCCAACCTTTAGGTTAGCAGTTGAGTGCAAACCATTTGTGCCACACAGGGACCTGTAGTGACCATAAATTACAGAAATCCCAGCCCTCATGTTTTGTGGAATGCACGTGTCCTTGCTTGAATAGGTACAGATAAATCTCTGGAAGCATACACCCTTTGGGAGGGGAGTGGCAGAGGACTTTTGTACATATTTCTGTTACATATATATGCATATATATTCATATGCCTGCAAAAGCTAGAACCTGTGTAAGGTGGAAATTTGTTAGAGAAGGAAAACACAAATATTTTCCACTAATAGAGAGCAGTAGAAAAGTGGTGAGGTTGCACTCTGTCAAAGGCAGAAAATTTGCGAGACCCAGAAAAACAAGGCAGTCTCGTTGAGTTCTGGTTCTCACAGGTTTCACTGTTTATATATATTTACAAGAATGTATTACTTTAATAATAATTGTTAATTAAAATAATAGTTAATTAAAAATCACATGACCCAGAAAAGAATCTCAACACCAAATCCTCAGTAAGTTCATTCAAAGGGCACTTTCTTAAAATTAAATAAAGGAGCAACCAACCAACCATGCCACTCTATGACCTACAACAGGGACATTAATTCAATTGCCTAGAGGGGCCAAGTGGAGATCAGTTTAGGCGAGGAAGGCATTTGTAGGTGGGGCAGCCCCATTCGGCTGTAGCTCATTGTTCTCTTATGGGAGAGGGGCCTAGTGTGTTTAGATCTTCCGATTTTTCATGAGAAAGTAGACTCTCGTTTTGTAATGTTAATTTAAATCTCCTAATTAAAAAAAAAAAGAAAAAGGAAACCCTGGTGGCGTAGTGTTTAAGTGCTAAGACTGCTAACCAAAAGGTTGGCAGTTCGAATCCACAGGTGCTCCTTGGAAACTCTATAGGGCAGTTCTACTCTGTCTTATAGGGTCACTATGAGTCGGAATCGACTCGACCGCAACGGGTTTTTTTTTTTTTTAATTTAAAAATAATGGTGATTAAATTATTTATTTAAATAGCATTAGCAGAAACAGCTGTATTAGGCTGCAGGCCACCAGTTTTTGGCTTCGGTCCACAGCCAGCTTTCCCGGACCTTCCAGGGACGCTTCTTGCTAGGCCGAGCACACCGATCGTTTGGATCCGGGTGGCCCGAACCATCGCTGGGGTCCCAGGGCAGGATCTGGGTCTGCTCCTGCTTCAACCCGACAGGGCCTGAGGAGTTGAGAGTAGTGGACGCCCTCAAATAACTGGGAATTCTGAAGTCTACAAAGTCATCCAGCCAGGGCTGGTGAAGCCAGAGATCGCAAAAGCCTCGCTCAGGACCACTGAGAGAGTCCAAGGCGGCGCGGGGGTTGGAATCCCGGCCTCCGCCTTCAGTTTAGAGCTCTTTTCCCCCAAACTGGAAAAAGGAACTCCACAGATCCGGTCACAGGCCATCAGCCGAGGGTGTTACAGGGTTCGCCTGTTCACCCTACGTGCGTGGACCACAAAAACTACAAGTTCCAGCATGCCCCGCTTCACAAACGACCCTCGCGCTGCCGGCCGGCTGAAACCCTCCTTCAACTCCCCATTAGCTCAGAAGCCTAACGTGCTGTTCCGTGATTGGTTGAGGCTCTTGTCGCTCGTAAAAACCCATTGCGGAGGCTGGCAGATAGGTGCCTCTGAGCTGCCAAGATGTCACACCCCTTGATGAGGATGGGGAGTTGCTCAGCCAATAGAGCCGCCGCCGTCTCGGCTGCGAGGCCTTGCTTTTTAACTCCTTGGCGACAACTCCTTGGTTGATGGGCTTCCGGCCGGAGGCCATTAGATGGGACACCGGAAGGCGGAAGTGCTAGGGCGGAAGTGGCCGAGCGGAGAGAAGAATGGCGGCTGAAGGCTGGTTTTGGCGCTTGGGCTGGGGCCGGCGGTGCCCGGGGAGGCCTGGGCTTCCCGGCCCCGGCCCTGGCCCCACTGCATCTGTACTTCTCGTTCTTCTTCTGTTGTTGGGGCTAGTAACTTCAGATATAACTGATGGCAACAGTGAACACCTCAAACGGGAGCATTCGCTCATCAAACCCTACCAAGGTGAGGCCCGGAGCGGGAATGAGTAAAGGATGAAGGCGAGGCTGGACAAGGTTGGGGGAGGGGAGTGCCCTTCCTGTGGGTTTCCTGCCTCTGGCAAGGCCAGTCCTGGCATAGCCCCTTAGGCATCTGTCTATGCCTGGCTCTCTGCCCACAGGAGTCGGTTCCAGCTCCATGCCCCTCTGGGACTTTCAGGGCAGCACTATGCTCACGAGCCAGTACGTGCGCCTGACCCCTGACGAACGCAGCAAAGAGGGTTCTATCTGGAATCACCAGGTGAGTGGTTCCCAAGAGACTAAAAGTACCGTTCAGTAAGCCCCAACTCTCTGCCTGCCCAGCAGCGGAGATCTGAGCTTGGTTTGAAGACTTGTCCTCCCTTACCCCATCTTGGTCACACCCGCCAGTAATAATAGATAGTGGATATTGAGTAGTTACTATGCGTCAAAAGTTGTGTTTGACACCTTACACCCTTCTCACTCTTTCAAAAGCCATGTGAAGTAAATGATGACGTCTCCATTTTACTAAGAAGCTGATGCTCAGAGTTGAAAGTGCCTTACTGAGAGTCACACAGCCAGTAAGTAGTAGAGCTGTCTGGCTGTCTGAATTGAACTCTCTCAATAGTGGAAAGAATGGGATCAACTGTGTCTTTATTGGGTATTTGCTTTGTGTTAGGCACTGACCTTGACACACCTTATTGCATTTAATTCTCAAACAGGTTGTTTGAAATGGATGGTTATCATGACTTTTTACAAAGATAACACAGCTAGCGAATGGCATAAATAATATTTGAATTCTAACCTGTCTGATCTCCAAGGCCAGCACTACTCTGGGCCCCCTTCCCCTGGTCAGTTGGGGAACCCATTAGAAATAATTTGCAGGCTCCAGTGGTTGAGGATCTTGTCATCGGTGGTATGGAGGGGCTGGACTTGTGGTTAGTTCTGTTTTGGCAGTGTTGTTAACCATACAAGAGTTTCGTGACTTTTGCACCAGAGGTCAAGGAGCCTGAAGTGTCTGACCAAGGTCAGCTGCCTAGTAGATAGCACATTTAGGAAACCTAGGTTAGGAAAGGGGCAAAAGGAGAGTAACTTTGGACTGGATCACAGCATGGAGGGGACCCTTCTCCTGCCCCAGCCTGCCTAATCCCAATTCCTCCCACAGCCTGCACTTTTGGCCAGTGTCCGAGTTCTCTCTATCACGTTGCTCCCTGGTCCTTTCTGGTTGACTTCCCACTGAATTCTGGGAGGCAACACAAGCCTACACCACCTTGTGTTGCCTCATCTGACTGTCCCTTCAGCTCCTCCTCTTCTTCCTGCCCTGTGCCTCTACACTGCTGCTAGGGGGATCTGAAATTACTTTTTTCAGCTTTCTCTCTGATCCTCAGAGCCTCGAATCTCCTGGGAAGGGATAAACATGCATCATGTCTGCACAATCTGGCTCCTAGTGCCTGTGCATCTGCAGTCATTCTCTGGGTTAATTTTGTTCCAACCTGTCTGGCTGCCTTCTTCCCTTGGGGCCTTTGCACTTGTTATTCTCTCTGTCTGGGACACTGCCTCCTGGCTCTTGATGCCTGCTTGGTTTCTCTCGTCTGTTAAGTATCAGCTTGAGTGCCTCCCACTCAGAGGGGACTTCAGTAACTACCTCATCTCCCCCAAGTCACAGTCTGTCACATTGTTTTGTCTTAGGGCTTTCAGATGATTTTTTAAAATGATAACATAACCTTATATATTTCATGGAAATGGGTTCAGTATGGCATTTACTTAAAAAAAAAAGTACATGTAGCGCTGGAACTGTTAGAAACTGAGTTCAGCCACAAGTAACAAACGCATCCAAGGCAGTAATTTAAATTATGATTGTAATAGTTTATAAAGAAAATATTGCACGTTCTACTTTGGTGAGTAGCGTCTGGGTTCTTAAAAGTTTGCGAGCGGCCATCTAAGATACTCCACTGGTTCTCACCCTGTCTGGAGCAAGGGAGAATGAAGAAAACCAAGGACACAAGAGAAAGATGAGTCCAAAGGACTGATGGACCACAACTACCACAGCCTCCACCAGACTGAGTCCAGCACAACTAGATGGTGCCTGGCTACCACCACTGATTCCTCTGACAGGGATCACAATGGAGGGTCCTGGACAGGCCTGGAGAAAAATGTAGAACAAAGTTCTAACTCACAGAAAAAATAAATAAATAAAGACCAGACTTAGTGGTCTGACAGATTGGAGAAACCCTGAGAGTATGGCCCCGGGACACCCTTTTAGCTCAGTAATGAAGTCAGTCCTGAGGTTCACCCTTCAGCCAAAGATTAGACAGGCCTGTAAAACAAAATGAGACTAAATGGGCACACCAGCCCAGGGGCAAGGACAAGAAGGCAGGAGGGGACGGGAAAGCTGGTAATGGGGAACCTAAGGTCAAGAAGGGGAGAGTGTTGACACGTCGTGGGGTTGGCAGCCAGTGTCACAAAACAATATGTATATTAACTGTATCTTAATGAAAAGCTAGTTTGCTCTGTAAACCTTCATCTAAAGTACAATGAAAAAAATGGAAATATCAAGAAATAAATTATGGTTGTAGGTAGCTGGTGCTTGGTATTGTCAGTGGCTTAAAGATGTCACAGGGCTGAGAGGATTCTGTACCAACCATAGAATTTTCACAGTCTGAAATAAAATTGTCTTACCTTCCTTTCCCCACCCTTATCCTCCTGCTCAGCTCCAGGGACCTTTCCTATTTGTCCCTGCTGATATTCCCAAAAGGCTTGGAGTACTTCCTATAATTGCTGAAAGAAATTGCTTGGGACTCTTAGAAAGAATTTTCTGCCCAATGTTTCCCCTAAACCACCTCTACCTTCATTGGGTTGGAAAGATGCTTTTTGACCTTTTCTCCTTTTTGTCTCCTTCATAAACTCCATCTGGGAGAGGCACTAAATTAGCAAACACTCAGCACCTGCTGTCTCCCGGGCAGAGATAAGACACAGCTTCTGCAGGTGTGGGTGGAGTGGTCCACATGAAGGAGTGGTATATGCCAGGCATAGCCCAGAGGTGGCTGGAACTCCCGGTGCCTGATGGCCAGAGCACAGGACACGGGGAGGCTGGAGAGGCCCCATCCTCAGGGGGATCTTATGTAGAGGCTACAGCAGTGAGTGGTTTTTATGCTTGTTGATTTGCCATGTGAAATTATATACCCCCTTGCAGTTTTTAAGGAACACTGGTGGTACAATTGTTAAGCACTCGGCTGCTGGCTGCTAACCAAAAAGGTCAGCAGATTGAACCCACCAGCCGCTCCTTGGAAGAAAGTTGTGGCACTCTGCTTCCGTAAAGATTTACAGCCTTGGAAACCCTATGGGGCAGTTCTGCTCTGTCCTATAGGGTCACTGTGAGTCTGAATTGACTGGATGGCGGTGGGTATTGTGCTTTTTAAAAGTTGGTATCTAAAATTGTTTATCAGAGTTTAAATATTTGCAAAGGATGTAGTTTCCAGCATATTTTAAATATTGACATTATAAAATAATACTGTTTAGCACTCATAAATGTATTTTGTGGAATCTAAATATCATTGCAGTTTGATATGCACTCTTAAGCCATTTGAATACACCGAAATTGTGTATCAGTCCTGTTTTATTGAACTTGTATTTTCATTTGACTTCTCACACAGAATTTTATTTAATGCAGTATATCTAATGCTTTGAAAATCTCCTACTGGTTAGCCTGTCATATTTTTCTGCAACTCAAATAAGTGTAATAATTTAAACTTTTTAACTTTCTTGGGACTTTGAAATTAAGTGCTAATATTTTCTTCTGGATTGAGTTACTACAATTGTTATCAATACGTAATAGATCAAAGTAAATGTGTAAAACATTACACACATTTTGAATAATTACTGTATAAAAGTAACAGTTTATTACACTGCATCTCAATGAGATGGCTTCCCCCTGCCGCCCCGGTATCTGGATGAATATCACAGTCAGAATGAGACGGGGTTCACCACCTCTGCTTTGTGTCTTTATAGATCTGAATGCTAAGAAACTGTGGTCACTTAAACAAGGAGGTAGAGATGGAGGGAGTTTTGTTGTAACAGGGCCATTTAGTAATTTGAACTTCTTTTGGTTTATAAGTCCAAAATCGTGTAGTGATCTTTTATCAGAAATGTTTTCTAATGGATTGGATTAGCTGACAATTGGATTAGATCTGCCTTCAATTTTGTTGAAAGCAGAGATGTCTGTATACTGGTCTGTTAGTGCCAGATGAGTCTGATTCAGTTGACCTGGCTCGGGCCAGGATATTGGGATTCCTGAGCGCCCTGTGGTCTGCTGTGCAGCCAGGTGAGAACCACAGCCATGAGGCAGCTTCCAAATCTCTTCTAGCGTGCACCTCACCTGCTTGACCATGGCTTGACCAGGGCTTTATGGTATTTGGTGTCATAGTATTTCTATCCTCTAATCCACAGACTTCAATCTGGGGCACATGGCATCTTTCCAGGGCCTGGGAGTCTTGTAGAAATTGCTATTCAGGACCTCCCCTTCCCCATGTGCTGTTTCCTGAGACTGATCTCCCTGTGAACATGCCTGTGGAAGAGGTGTAGGTTACTCTCCCCCACTTCCCCTTCACAGCCACCTCTCCTGCTCAAAGGCACACCTCTCACCACTTGGTACCTCCCCTCAGTGCATTGTTCCCAGGTGCCAGGAACTCCTGGGCACCCAAAAGACCATTTGCAGTCTGGTTTCTGGGCTGACCTTTGTGTATGTGAGCTGTGTTTTTTAATTTTCAAATATATGAGGGTTTTTCTCGTTATCTTTCTTTAAATTTATGTCTAGCTTAATTACATCATGGTCAAGGAATACACTGTATGGTTTCAGTCCTCTGAGGTCTGTGGAGACTTGTGAGTGGTCCCTTAAATGGTCAGCTTGTTTTGGAAGTGTTCCCTGTGTGTTTGCAAAGAATGTGGATTCTGTACTTGTTGGGTGCAGTGTCTTCTCGGTTAGGGTTGCTGACTGGTTTCAAATCTTCTCCATCCTTCCAGATTATTTTGTCTGCTCATTTTTAGCAATTACTAAGAGAGATGTTAAAATTTCTGTTTGTGGATTTGCCTACAAAAGTTCTGTCAGTTTTTGCTTTATATATTTTGAGGCGATATTATCCGTTGCCGTCGGGTTGATTCCAACTCATAGTGACCCTATAGGACAAAGTAGAACTGCCCCACAGGGTTTCCTAGGCTGTAATCTTTACAGGAGCAGACTGCCACATCTTTCTCCTGTGGAGCGGCTGGTGGATTTGAACCATCAAC